AGTTTGTAATTAATGTTGATAAGATGACGTTTGGGAACAACAAAGGCCAAGTTCTGGCAACTGTTAAAAGAGAGAAGTTGAACTAACTAGGTGCCATCAAGTTGAAGTCAGAGTGACTGAAGGAGTTGATGATGGTGAAGTGGAACCAGGTATAGATATTAAATCAGTGCAGGAGAAAGACCAAGATTTGAAGCCAATAATTGATTTTCTAAAACCAAGAATGGGACAGAAAATTAGAAGAATGTGACAGAAACTTAAGGGAGGAGCTAAAAAGCATGGAAAACAAAGGAAGACATCAACAGGTATAAAATAACATCAGTGACAGAAAAAAGCATCTGGAAAGGAAATTATTGAATATATTGTTACGACAGCGGAAGTCACGTGACGCTGGTAACACGTAATGAGTTCTAGAAAGATCGGGGAATATCACGAATAATCCAGTACTTGCTAGGCGCCCTCTTTTCTTGTATACATGTGCGCCAGACAATTAATCGGAATTGAATTGCAGACAGGCAGATATAGAGACAGACAATTGAGTCAAGAGTGGTAGTGACGTAAGTAAAGCACGTGAATCGTTCGTTGTGAATTATAGCGTGTGTTTAATTTAAAGTGGCTGTGGAAATTAAGTGTATTGTAAAGTTGAATTGAGAAAGAATAAAGTAGTTCTTTTTAAGAAAAGACTTGTATTGCTGAAGTTTCATCGGAAATAAATTATACGGAAAATTAACAAACGAACACAGAGACGTAACAATATAATTAGCTATAACATTTTCTGCATTGATTCAGGAGTTCTAGCCTGGATACCTTATTTGGTCTACATTTTATTACTACTATAGCTGCATCATCTGTTACGAAAGGACCTTCCCGAACTGCTCCAGTTATAAAACTACAAATAAAGTTCCAGAATTTAGCCGGTTCGTTCAATGTTGGCCAATAGGAAAGCCAACAAACTATGATGAGAAGGTATCAGGTAAGTCATACGAGGCTCAATTTTAAATATATTCTAGTGTGAATATAGACACAATAGTGAACAAGGTCATACATCTTGTTGCCCATTTAAAAGGACCAATTTTGAGTACATTAAGTAACATTCCAGCTGCGAATTATAACTATCAAGCACTGATAACCACCTTATTCAACAGGTTTGGAGTGTTGCACCAGAAAGAAGTATCCAGAGCAAAGTTTCAAAACAAAGTATGAGGGAAAAAAAGGGACATTTGCCAAATTTGCCCAACCTTCTTCTTCAGATGCTATTCGTGAAATGCTGGATTCGTTAGCATGTTACCAATATGTAAAAGCTATAACAGATGAGGGGAAGAGGATTAGGTTGAAGCCAAGTAAGTGTACATTCCTAAAGGAAGTTCTGCAGGTGATAGTGGAACTAGAATCCATTTAGGTTGAAGACAACTAAAGACCCAATCTCGAAATTATGAGATCATCAGATCGAGTAATGTTGAAATATTAACTTACAATGACAACAGTTTATAAAAACTAAAAGAATCAGTTAGACAACTAGTTATACATAATGAAGGAAATCAACAAACGACAATAAGGGTTTCAAGTATAAAGGATAAGAACTCCTCTCACAGGATACCAGAAAGAGGGGATTTTTATAAATGTGTGAAGCCTGGCCATTACAACTGAGACTAATATAATCAACAACTATTAAGACAACAAGGAAACAATACCCCAAGGATGTGTCTTCGAGCCCATCCAAACCAAAAGAACAGCAAGGGGTAAACCACACATCAAGAAAACAGGAATTAGATGGACTTATGGTGCAAAATTCAGTTGGAAATATTTCATCTGTTACGCCTCCAGTCGTTAGTTAATTTTCCGTAACTTCGTTCCGACGAAACTTTAGTGACACAAGTCCTTACTTAATAAAACGGGTTGTTGCGTCAGCGAGTCACATGACCACCGTGACGCAACGTTTCTAGAACTATCATGTACTTTGGCGAATGTTCAAGTTCTTACTAGAAATAGGGTACAC